AACACAGAACTGAACTGCACCTCCAGATGCTGACTTGCACGTGAATTGTCTCTTGCTCATGCCAGCTTGGCTTCCAGGAAAGCACTTGACTTTCATGTGAATTTAAAAAGCCCCACATGAACAGATATTAAGGTTTCCTCCTTTAAAGCCACACTTAAATGTTGCTGACACAGTGACACACCCCCGGGCTTTGAAGCAGCACTTTTGCAACAACACGAATATAGATCTCTGCTCAACTCACACTTGTTTTTCCCAGAGCTGAAGTCTGATGTTTTTTAAGAAAAAATACAAAAACCTTTCAGTGTGGTGGCTTTCCTAGTATGGTGCATATTTTGGAGGGGGAATCTGTTTTTTTATTTTCCTGTACTTTCTTAATGTTTCTGAGTTTTCAAAACCTGTCATTTGTCAGTTACGGCCTTAAATAATTTTCCCTATTTGTTCTGTTGAAACTTTTCATTTAGGGAAAAGTCCACTGGTTCCAAGGTTATGAAAATGTTGTATCAGTTTCAGCTCTGCAGGTAAGAGGGATGGAAATAAAAATTGCTAACATTTGGGCAGTGGTGATTTTTTTGCTTCAGCTACATCTGAGGTTATCTAAAAAGCTGTTATCCAAAGGGAGAAAAATGCAAAAGCAGAGAACTGTCCAGAGTTGTTGATAGGGTATATTTTCCTTCTCTCCCTGTGTGATAGGAAAAAGAGTCATGAACTTACAGGCAAACTAACTTTGAAAAACTTTTACAGGTCTTAAAATATTATTTTTCTGCATACCAAGGCCTGAACAGGAAAGCAAAATGCCTAATTATGAAAATCTTTCCTTAAAATTCTCAGTAATGCTAGTCCTAGTAAATAATCTATGATAGAGGAAAATGCCACAGTCCTAAGTAGTGGTAGTCTGAAGAGCTGTGGTGCCTGACTTTACTGTATGAAGAGATGCAGAAGGACCTTGCTGCCATGGGGCTAAGTTAACCCTGGCTGGTTTAGTCTCAAACTGGATCAATTTACTGTTTTTCACATTAATGTCTGATTGGAAGGAAATATAATGTGCAAGGGACTATCATCACCCAATTCAAGTTCATGGCAGATATACCAATGCCTTCTGAAGTATCTTCATACCCTCACATTCATGTTTTGACATCCACGATAGTGAATTTACAGAATTAAAAGGTGATTTTTTACAATAATAAGTTTTAAACTAATTTTTGGCTTTTTTTTTTTCCCCTGAAGCCAGCATTCACACCTATTGGTGGAATTGTTTTAACAGCTCTTTTCAGTGCTCCTGTCTCCCTGGCAGTATTTCCATCTCCCAGGGTTTAAGACTCCCCCCACAGCATCACCATGGCAGGCCCAACATCCAAAGTACCTCATTCCTTAAATGTACAGGCCACTGTTGTGCCACATTTTTGGGTGTGGCTACAACATCCATTCCTCCCTGGCTGCAGCCTGGACCTGTTTAACCCTGTGGCAGCTGATGATGGGCCTGCCAGCACACCAAGGGAGCAAACACTGCCTTTATCTTAAAATGGGAGAGAGAAATCTGCTAGGAAAACGATTCTGAGCTGCTTTCCTTGATGCCTAGGGATGAATTTCAGTATTTCTATACATGGGTAGAAGTGACAGATTTTGCCTGTTGTAGGATAATTTCCCCCAAAAAAGTTCAAAAGTCTTGCCAATAACTGCCTCCTACTATCTGGTGTTAACACAGGAGAGGAAGCAAAGGTTCCTCCACAATGTTGGAAAGGCAGAGTAGGGAGAACTCAGGTTTCACTGAATGTTGGATTGTTCTTGTTCCAGCATTTTTAATTTGAATAGTTTTAGCAAAATACTGTTTCTTCTGAGCTTTTAGTGACCTGTGCCATTTGCATGTGCTTGCCTTCATACTGCAGCACCACAGAGATTGCATTCACACTTAGGCCTTCAAATTCAGCACTTCAAACCAATTCTACACTCTGCTGTGTAGAGTTAAGTGACACACAGGAAGTGCAGCTGATGCATTACAGGCCTGTTAAACTGGCTGTTGCATAAACTGATGCATCTCCTACAGGATGCAGTTGTCTTGATATCTGGAAAGGTTTCATAGTGCTCTGACACACTGTGCATCCTCCACCTGAGAATCTCCATACTCTGTGACCTCCACAAAAGATTAATAGCTATATTCTCTAACCAGGCATGCTAAACCACTTCTCATCTGTCTCAACAGCTGGAGAGGAACTCCTGGGGAGGAGACTTACCTGTGTACAGCACCAAGAACCACCCTGACTTCCCCTGCCACACCTTGAGCTAAGCTCTGTCACCAACTGAAGGCATTTGCTGCTGCTGCTTTGGCAGCAGTAACCCAGATTTTCAGCAGCTGAGCTGTCACTTTGCTAACTGAGCACAAGCCAGATAATGAACTCAGTTTTGCTATTAGCCTTTTAAATACACTTGCAAGGCGGGGGAGCCCCCAAACCAGGTTAAGCATTTTCTAAGGTCACAGGAGAATCAGTAATAAACTAAGAGCAGAAACAGCTTTTCGAAACTTTAATCGCTCCCCCTAGTTCTGCATTCCTGTGGAAAGAGAAGCTGATAAAATTTTTGGCAAGAGGACCTGAATTTTTTTTTAAAGAGTATTTAATCCACAAAGCTTCAGCTTGCAGTATAAAAAAAGTAAGATGTCTGTTTAGAAGGCTGATAACCAACTGTAGTCCATTTTTCTTATTTTTCGTAGCTCCTTTTCCTGGGATTTAGACAGTTTACATGCCATCTCTCCTAATAATTCCATGTGGCTTGTATCTTCTTGTTCCATTGCTGTGACATCTTCCTCATCTGAATCATCCTCTGCTTTTTCACTTTCCATTTCTACTTCATCAGCAACTTCTTCAGCACTGGAAGATGGTTGGAAACAACCCAATTAATAGGTACTCTCACATACTACAGTACTACACGGGAGAAGTATCATGCAAACAACTACGTAAACAAGGTTTTTTTTTCATTTCAGTCTACCCTACTATACTTCTCTTGCCATCTCAATTTCAAGCAATTTTTCAAATAGCTCTCCTCTAAGTAAACTTAAAATAGTTTTCTTTCTTGAAATATAGTAGGTAACTGCAGAGCAGGCAGGTCAGCATTATGACAAATGTTACAACACTGCAGTTCTACAGGATCAGAAACATTGGATATACTGGTAGATGAGACAGTATTCAAGAAGGACATTCTTCTCTTTCAAATCTGAAAAGGGTCACTTGGTCTTAAAAACTGCTGCAATACCTAGAGCATTACTAGGAAAGAAAAAAATTCTTTGGTTGTTTGCTTTTTTTTCTCTAAACACAGAGAGATGTTTAAAGTGGCTGTTCCCTTCTGAGTTTATGAGTTTTAAGCCTGTAGAAAGTAGAACGAAGTAGAAAGCACAACTCCAATGAAATATATGGAATTGTTGTAATTTAAAATGCATTAATTAATAGTATTAATTCAAGTGTCTGTTGTATAAATATTCCTGATCTAACTTTCACTCCTAACATTCCTAATATTTACTCCTAACTTAGGAGTGAACCTCATGGCAAAACAGTAGTGGTCTTCTAAAAATCATCTGTTCTAACACAAACTATTCATTACTCACAAAATATAAATGGAGAAGCACACAGTAGTATCATGTTGCCAAGGAAAACAGAAGCATTTAATGTTAATAATATATCCACTGTAAAATATATACACTATACAGTGATAAACTGTGGTCAATCTTCAAGGGCCCACTGCTGACAATTACATGTGCCTTTAAATGCACAGCCACACTAGTCACCACTGCCAAAGTACAAGCTCTGCAAGTGCAAATATTTACGCAGGTCACTGAACTCTCACATTCTTCACGACTGAAACTAGATGCAAGTTCCCATGTGTTAGACTTCTGCCACTGGTCTGTGGATGTTTTGTTGTGCCATGCAGTCAGAGATCTTACAGCAGTGGCCAGCACAACGTGGCAGCAGCCAGAGCACACGCAGGAGCCGTGACTGTTCCCGGGTGAGCTCTGGCCCTGGTGAACCACCCGCTCGTCTGTCTGGCAAATCCACCAACACCTGATTTCAAGGACAGGTTTTCATCCCTGGCCTGGCAGAGTTTAATGAAGCACTTTAATGAATAGATGGCACAAAAATGCTTTCACTGAACTGGCTTCAGTGTAAATGAAAAGATATTAATCCTAATACAAACAATTGTCATAATCCCTGTGCCTGCATTCCTTTGATCCCAAAGGAGAAAGCTACAATTTTATGTACCCATCAAACTACTCTATTAAATTGGCATTAATGCACTGTAAGCCAAACTTAGATGTGCTTACAGTATACAATTGTATTTTGTAGCTTAATTCTAAAGTTCTAAACAAATTCTTAAGATCAAGCTCCTAATTTACTGCTGTATCTAGAAACTGAAACCAAATCTATGCAGCAAGTCATAGTAATTTCAAATAAAGTTGAGATTCTAATGTTTAACCAAAAGTAGCACTAAAAAGCCATTAAATCCCTGGAATAAAGTTAAATTCATAGAGAACATTTGAGTGTAAAATGCAGTGTTTTGTGTATGAGTACATTATGCAAAACCCAGCAAAAATAACAGCAACAAAAGAGCCAATACACTAAACAGCAGACCATTACCACACTGAAGTAATCTACTAACTTACTGAACAGATAAAGAGTGTTAGAAAACTGCTTTTACACTTTGAACAAAGATGTACATAATTTAAAATAACTTTGATAACTAAGGAGAGTCCTTGAACTTTTCTTACCTTTTGTTCTCTTTGGAGATGAGCAACGAGTTAATAAATATAGTGCAGAGGAAGGAAGCAGATGGCAAAACGTGTGCTGGAGTGTGCAAAAGCTGCAAAGATAAAACAGAAGCTTTATGAAAGGCTTTGTTTGTTGTGATTTTGCTTGTACATTTACTGTAATTACCCCTACCTCTTTGACAGCAGGTGAAGCTTGCTCCTGCTTGGTATGAACAACTGGTTTTCCAAGGTCTATATCCTCCTGTGCTTGCTGACGTCTGTGCTTTCCCAGCAGCACACTAAATGGTGTCACAGGAAGACTTTCTTCTACTGCCAGCTTGAAAAAATGTAAGTACAATTTTAGTGTCACAAATCTAAGTTCCATCTCCTTTTAAGTTACCAAAATTCAGAAGAAACCCAACTGAGAAAAGGCTACACTCAAATGTAACTCAACTGAGCTATGTGGTTCTTTGTACTCAGTCTCTGTCAGGTGTCTGGAGAGAATCCTGCGCAGACAGTTACAAAACTCTCCAGAATCTGGCCCCAAGAACACTACATTTTAGTTTACTGATCTACCTATTAACTTCCAAGCACGGAAGGTGGTTCATGTGCCAGAAAACCAAAGGATGGGTTTTTCTGATTCTACAGAACCAGAAGATCATTTATCTCCAGCATCATCTGCAGAGAGATTCAATTATGTAATGGGAAGCAAAACATAGCACCTGGACTTTTGGCATTGTCCTGCATCAATAAACATTAATCTGAACACCAAATTATTTCCCCACTCTCTAAAGAAATGGATTACTTATGCCCACAGTCCCACAGCATTTTGTATTGGAAAGATACTAACTTCTACTTTGATCTAAGTTATCTAACCAAGCAAATAATCAAATGCTGCTGCTACAGTTTTAACTTTTTCAAAATTAATTAAAAAAAAAAAATCCAATTTCCCAGACTACCACTCCACAGAAATACATACTGGAATGCTGGAACTCCTTCTCACAGGTAAGTCACAAGTGACTGACAACTGCTCATCTCCATTAGAAAGCACAGTTCAGACCACACTCAAGGTTCCCAGTTCAGATCACACTCAAGGTTCCAAGTGTTACAGAAACCAACATAAGGAAGGAGCTTACTCAAACATTTTGCTTAATTTGTGAAAGCTGAATCTTTTAGAAAAGTATTAGTTTCTTTCCCCCCAAGGGAAATGGAGAGCAGCTCACTGATACTCCAAGAAAAAAAGTTACAAACAGCACTTCTTGTCAAAAAATAAGCAAATCAAGATTACTACCCCTTCAGCTAAGTGCCTGTGACTCCAGGTAAGATCTGGTGAGCATTTTCACGACAAAAGGGAATTTCAGTAAGACAAAATAACCACCAGAATTTTGAACTGCCCTGCCCATCTCAGTCAGAACTTCTATGAGAGATACCTGTTTGCTTGATGGTGTGAGCCTTTCTTCCAGAGACTTTGTGCTGAGTGTCATTAGCTCCTAAAATACAGAAGGGTGTAGCACAGTTATCATACATGAAACTGCTTTCTGTGTTTCCACAGCTTGCCTACAGAAGCTTCCAACTGGCCCAAAAGTTTTATCAGTCAAGTGGAAGAGGCAAAACCATCTCTTCCTCTTTTATTTTGTAAAGAAACTGAAGAGAAGAAGGAATGGACCTAGAGGTTCTATAGACTTTTTGGGAAAACAAACAAAAAAACCCCACAACCCCCATCCAGAAATTGCAGGGAAAGTGAATATCACATGGAACATTTGAATAATCAGCAGTAATCCATACAGCTTCTAGATACTTGTTTAAGTTAAACAGCATAGGCAATGTTCCCATGTTATCTAGTGCCTTGTCTCAATGAAGCAGCATAAAACTATTCACAAGAATAGCACAAAACCAGTAAATAATTTTGATCTTAGGCTGTTTTGGCAGTTTCAACAAAGCACAGTTTACAATTATGTAAAATCAAAAAAGGAACTCCTATGCTCATAAGCAGAACTCTGAATTCCTATCAATCCATTTTAAAGAAAACAGTTTTTCCCCATGAACCACCAATGAATTACTATTCCTTACTTGTGTATCTGTAAGAAAAAATAGTTGGGATTGTCTTAGCCAAAGGTATTTCTCTGAGGTTATCATTTCAGGTTCATCTCTTGGAACGAAGGCAGCAAGCAGGATCTTTTCTTGACAAAGATTTCTCTGGATGTAGATTGGCCGTGGCTCACTTGGTTTAAACACAAACACTGCAAAACCAAAAATATCTTCTTTTTACATCAGGAAATTCTTATGCTCCTGGCCAGCTGTCAAAGCCCTGTGTATCACAGCCAGGAAGGCTGGACAGGATTGCCTCCAAGCACCAGTTCACAGGACTATAACTGGATAACTTTACTCAATAATAGAAGGGACCTTTCACAGTACTCCAGTCCAGAGAACACACTTGAAAATTAACATTTCTGTAGGAAGAGTTATCTTAATTTAATGTCAGAGCTCTAAAATGTAGCTGCACAGTTCTGCATTTACAAGAGAGGGTCAAGAACGTTTGAGACCCTCACCCAGAACGTGTGGTTAATCCTGAGATATATCCTGTACCTGAAACTACCTGCTGGAAGAAAAGGTAACACACTTTGTTTGAATGCTGCTGTAAGATATGGCTCAGTTTCCACAGGTGCAAGCACACACTGAAGTCTCTCTCCAGCTTTCATGGTCTGAATTCTAAGAAAACCTTTTCTAGAAATTGTGCTTCCCCAGTTTTAAATTCTGCTGATTATGACTTGTGAAAGAAGGCTTTGTACTTACAGCTGGACTCTTTGGAGAGCCATGAGACTGCAGCAATATGTTCAGAAAGGGGATCAGCCTGCAGAACTACGACGTTGAGGTGGGCACTCCACTCCACTGAAAAGCAAGAACAGCAAGAGCCAGAGGTGAAAAGGAGTCAAACAAAAGGTCAAACAAACAACACACAGGGCCTTAGCTGCTGGAAGAGGCAGCTCCAGTGATTCCCTGGCGAATAAAAACATACAAATGCTACCAACTCCTACACAAGTGTAAGAAATACTACCTATTACTGGGTAATCATTCACCTAACCCAAGATTTATTCTGCACACACAAAGCACATGCACATGGACAGGATATTATCCTAAGCATAAAAATAACCCCATTTCCACAGGGCATTTTGTAGTGTGTTAAATCTGGAATTGAACTAGAATTATTTCAAGGTTTCACAGTAATTTCAAGTAATAAATTACTCTAGCACACATTCAAGCTGATCTTACATGCACAAGTGAGCAGGTTCCAGCAACACAGAAAGCCATAATCAGTGGCACCAATAAGGTACTTGGAACATGTTAGTCTCCCAAAGCAGATATTCCTACAGAAGTAAAAAGTCAAAACAAATTAGTCACCTTCAGAGTTCATCTTTGTTTTTCTATGTAGCAATTACTCACAAGTCACAAAAAACATTTAGTTATGATTTAGTTTTGGTATCTAAATCCAAAGCTTGCTTTTCACATTCACCTCTAGTGGCATGAAACTCCACATACAACTCTCAGATAAGTCTGATAATTTATAAAATAAATTATAAACCCACACATAACTGTAAGTATTCGCACTGGGATTGGAAAATAATTTAATAATTAAAGAAGTTCTATTATTGTTTAGGAACTAGAACAAGAGAAGCTGTTAAATAAGGGTAATTATAAGCTGCTCCAGTTGAAGAAAGCATGTGATTTAATTTCTCAGTCTCTTGTTTGAGAATAACAGAACAGCCTTGGGACTTCTAATGATAAAAGATTTTCAAAAAACCTAATAAAGGACAGAATTTGTAAATTAAAGCATAGCCCTTTAAAATTATGTAAGTAATACAGTAATTCATTCTATTCCTAGAGTAATTTATTTCCTTTTAATATAACAAACAGTAAAGGTTATAAGAGGAGGCAGCTGGCCTGGGAAAAGCTTGCCACTGCACCAAGCTGGTGGCCAAGCTGGGCTTACGTGCCTCCCACAATTTTCCTCCACACCAGTTTCAGAATAACATTTCTCAATTTCTAATCTTAGAGGACCAACATAAAACAGATTTCATCACACAGAAAAAAAAAAAACGAAACAAAAAACCGCTTACAAACATACACACAACACATGGAAGGGAGAAACCTCTGTATGCTGCTATGATTCTTTGTGTCTTTAAAATATTGTGACCACACAATGTTGATGTCTTTTATCATGACAGCATATAATGGAGCATTGATGGGATAGTATGCCAGGAAAACATGGATTTTTGGACAGAGGTTACAGAGGACCAAGATGTGTATTTCGTAGTACAGGTAAGGTCATCATGCCTTTATGGTTTATTGATATAATTTCCATTTGCATGCATGCATACACAAATAAAGAACCAACTGTTTGCATTTACACTTTTCCAGGACTTTGATTCACCCCTGGATTAATGGGGGAAAAGAGAAGTGCTATCAACACTCTACTTGTACGCTCCATGATACAGATTTAAGGATGGGAGGTACAAGAGACATAAGCAAGTAAGAAGGAACTGCAATGCTCAATCTTATTTTTAACCAACACCTTAAAGCCATTTTAGTCTTTTCTATATATGAATTTAAGACTGATAAATTCAATGTTTATGTGCATATGTTTATGAATATATACAAGGTCTTGGACTGCTATGAATTGATTCCTTCTTTTCTGAGAGTTCAAATGAGACATAAAAGAGCAGATGAAGAATGTACCTTATATTTCCAGGTGGATGGCAAAACGTACACTTGAGATCCCAAGTAAGTGAATCCCATAGAGTGACAGTTTCTTCAAAGCTAACAGCAAGCAGAGAGCCATCTTCTGAGAAGCAGCAGTTCGTAGCTTGGTAGTTGTGGTAGCTGCCTACGAAGTCACAGCTCCAGCTCACACTCTGGTGTGCTGCATTGAATGAACAAGCCCGTTAATTCAAGTCCACACACAAAGAAAGAAGAATTCAATTATTACTGCAAAATAGGCTCAAGGCAAGGCAGTTTTCTTTCACAGTTTTTGAAGAGTACAGAGAATCTGCCCAGTTCTAATATGAGAAACAGCTGGCAGGGTTTTCATTTGTCCTCAGTTTTGCATTTGAACAGTGAACCTTGAGACTGACATGGTACAATATTCATACTTAGCTGCCAACTCCATTAACTGTGCTCTCACAGAGGCAGAGGTCAGGTAAAATGATTCTCGAGTAGATCCAACACTTATTGTTCTGGAAAAATTGTTCTGTCATAACTCTAGCAAGAACACAGGAGCATTACTCAAAATCTGAACACAGCTTGCATTTGAGTCCAGCATAGCCCATGATTCATTTACAGAGGATTTGAGCATCACCAAGTGACCCACCAGCATGCTTCCTTCTGTTGGCTCACCTGCCACTGCATTCTGTTTGGACACCTTTCCCACTGTGGATAGTTACCAGACAATAAACTGGAGAGAAGTGATGTACTTACCACATTAACATACATTTCCCAGTATAAAATAATTCCTACAGCATGCTTTTGCAACATTTGAGTAGGATGAGGAAAAAAAGGGAAAATCACTCTACACTAAGTTACCCTTTATATAATGGCTACAAGGTGATGATTAAAAGACCTGCCTGTAAAACAAAAAACAAACAAACAAAAAAAAAAAAAAAAAGAGAGAGAGAGAAAAAAAAAAAAAAAAAGAGAGAGAGAGAAAAAAAAAAAAAAAAAGAGAAAAAAAGATAAAAAAGGAAGCCAGAAGCAACTGAGTACTCCCAACTGCATGGCACCATCTAGGGGCCCAGCAAGAGACCTGCTGCAATTAACACATACCAGTTAACTCAACGGAGGAGCTCTTTGCTAAACTACTATTTGCTGCAGAGAAGCTGCAGCATGTCAAGCCTTTCTACCTGAGCATTCCTACTCTGCCCCACTGGGCAAATACACCACAGCAGTCACCACTAATTAGTACTTTCACATATGCCCTGAAACAGAACCCTGCAGTCACTTAAAATACAAACACCCTGATGAGGCCAGTCAGCAGATACAAAACTATTTTGTGGAAGGAGAAAAAAAAATAAGTTTCATCCCCAACTGACACTACACTCAAGATCAAAGTAGCTGCTCATTAAGTTAAGGTATAATTTAGCCTCAGAATAATTTATGAAAAAAAGCAAAACCAAACACTTTTTCAGATACCACAGGGAAGATTACTACTCATACAGTAAATGACACAAGGTTTTGTCTTTCTTCTCATCAGCAGCCACAGATGAGGGACAAAGAGCTTGGAAAGAGAAAGTCTGGCAAAGTCTGCCAAATAGAAACCCTAGTAGCTCCAAAGTACTTTTGAACATGTTCTCACCTGCCCATGAAAAGACAAACAGTTTGATTACTAAACTGCAAGCAGTTCAGCAAGACCACTATCACAGCTACTTAGGAACATGAAATGACAAGACAGCCAAGTGGCAGGAAGTGCCACTTCACTTAGGTGTGCCTTAAGTGTGTTATTACCACTGTAAAAACACTGAAGTAAAAGGACATTAATGTGTTGGAAATCTTTTGTATTTCATGTCCAAAGGCATAGAGAGCAATCAATAAACATACACAGATGGTCTGTTTGAAAGAGGTGAACATCAGCATGTCTCTCAAGAGGTTAAATTTGGTTATTACAGCAATCAATAAACATACACAGGTGGTCTGTTTGAAAGAGGTGAACATCAGAGGTTAAATTTGGTTATTAAAAGTATCTTAGAAATACCTAAATACCCATTCTATGATGTTCAAGTACCTAAGGGAAAGGAAGGATGTTCAAAAAGTGAACTCTGAAGTGGTGGATATGTTGAATTGCAGAAGTGCTATTATTTTACACTAAGCTCAAACAGAGCAACACATTTCTGTATCCTGTTCCTTTGAGCAAGAGTCTCAAATGAAAAGCCAACCCAGAGGACTGACAAAAATCCATTTTCTTAGCATGGAAAAATCCTTACCACAAACAGTTCTTGAACCAATGAACACAGGCTGCCACTCCCTTGTGCAGCAGCTTGCCAAGGTTTTTGGCTATATCAGGAACCTGCATACCAAACTAATACTGTGGAACTATGGCAGAACTCCATCACAGGATGCTCAGGAGAACACAGTACTTCATGCAGCAGCAGAAGCAGATCAATGCAGGGAACTAAGCAAATGACAGTAGGGTCTTAATTCCTACTGCATGACTTCAAATGTCATTGTAGGTCCTTTTCAACTCAGGTTATTCTTATGGTTCTAGGTTACAAGGTGCAAGTAAAAGTAAGTTATATTCTGGCCATGCTTACCTTCTGGATCAGAGTCTTCCACCATCACCCAGACTTTAAACACACAGTCTCTGCCAGTTGTTACCAGTATGAGAGAGTCATCTCCCAGTTCATCCATGTCACGAAAGCACATGTCTGTGATGTGGTTGTCATGGGGCGTGTTTATTCTGGTGTTCAGTGCAAAGCTAGAGGAAAAGAAAACAGAAGCTTAGAAGGCAAGCCCTTCTATTTAATTTGGAACCTGGGGAAGTCTTGAGTTCAGGGTGATTCTGGAATGGGCAGGGAGAAGACCAGTCAAAAGAAATTTCTAAATAAGACAGCTAAATGCATTAAAAGATCAGGTTTCCCTAATGGCTTCCATACAGTAGCCCAGCACCAAAAATTGTCAGTAGGCAAGCATCTCTCAAATACTCAGCCTGAACCCTGGGCAGTCTTTCCAGTACTTAAAAAAAATCAGTCATGTGGTTCATCTGTGTAGTAGCCTTCTTTTCCCTTGCTGCTTTAAGAAAATAATTTGTAGTCAAAATGTAATTTTTTAAAATAGGAAAATTAGGGAAAGACTATTAACCAGATGCATATGTTAGCTAAAGACAAAGACCAACAATAAAATTACAATCTTCTGAACCTTCTGGCAAAGAACTAATCAATTAATGATGGATTACACAGAGGAGGGCAAACTGTATGACCCATTCTGCCAGGTGAATTTAAGTCCCATGGTTACAACAGTCTCTGATTACTGTAAGTAAAATAGATCCAGAGCAATTATTTCCTGTGTGTATCCAGTGCAACTCTTTGCTCTGCTGCAGATGCTGCAGTGTGCATGGTAACTTCCCAGATCTGGAAAAACCCTGCCTTTGCAAAACAATGTCTGTGCAGGGATTTGTGTGACTGACAGCTGGAAGGCCAGCTGTTACCATTACCTTTGTGTTTCTTCACTGTAGAACCACAGCTTCAGCTGTAGCTCGGGGTCAGTCACTTCTTCACTCTCCTCCACCGTGGCCAGCCAGGTGCCCCGAGCGCTGAACGCGACCTTCACCAGGTCCGACTGCTTCAGGCCCTCCTGGTGGATGTACTGCCGCTGCACAATGTCCAGCTGCAAAGCAAGGCCACAGTGGATTTCAAATTCAGACAGAGCTGGAAGAGATACCACTGATGAAACCACGGAGGAAGGATGTTCTGAGGGCTCCAGTTAGACCTGACTGGGCTGTGGCATGAAGAAGTGTGGGGAAAGCAGAATTAGAGCATGTGCATTCCACAGTGACGCAAAGTGTAGGAAAGAATGAAAAATAATTTGAAGGTGTTTTACCTATAAATTTTTGACATTTAAGAAGACAGCACACTGTTTTAAAGTACTTTTTTCAGTATCAATATTTAGATTTTTAGTAGTTACTTTTTTGCTTAGCATGTGAAGTCAGAGATAAATAAAGAACATGTCAACCTGGAATCCAGCCTTGTGGGATACCAGCAAGGTTTTTTTCCCTTTTGCCATATTAAGTCTTCAAATCCTGATGCACAAGTTACTTGAGTAAGTTAAAGTTTTGGTATAAGTCAATCCAACTTACACTGAACAACTGCTGGTCACTCTGGAGGGAATAGAACTGCAAGTGGCCTGGCTCTCCATTCAGGACCAAAGCTTTGGTTCTAGGATCAACCACTAGGCCAGTCTTGATATCCCTACCTGGAAACAAAATTCAGATGACAAATGACCAAAGCTGTCAAGTGACACATTCCATCCTCTAAGTGGAAGACAAATTTTACTGCACTTACTTTTGATTAGCCCTTGAATACTTCTGGAAAACCTTAGGTTGCTGTTGATTATTGTAATTCCTGAAAGAGAAAGCAAAGACCAAGTCTTGCAAAAGGCACACATCTCTTGGTGGGAAAGAACTGTAACCATCTGTACTGTAAATGTATCTTTTCCCAGTTTATGACACCAAGGTGGAAAGCCAAGTTACAGCAGTCACCAAGCAAATTCACAGAACTGATCAAAGAGCAAAAGAACAAGAATCTGTTTTTTTCAGACCACTAATGAAATTTTACGCTGTTCTTAGTTAATTCATCCAAAATCAACAAAATAAGGCTCATACAGACTTGCATTTTCATTGAAGTGATACTTGGATGTGTTTTGGCTTACTGTTGTCTGTGTGCAGGGTGCAGCAGAGAACACCATCAGAGGACATGGAGATGCACTCGATAGGAGACCCCAACCGAGGCAGGAAATCCTTCTGGCATGAAGACTCATTGTGCCACTGGACTAGAACAGATTCCACTCCACCACTCAGCAACCTGGTTCCTTTTCCAGCAACAAAATACAGTTAAAAGCTTTTGCTTAAAAAGAAATAAAATCAGCAGCCTGTGTCTTTACAATGACAGACAGACATGAGTTTCTCAAAACTTTTTAAACTGTTACAAGTAAACAATAATACCAAGCCAATACAGATAGACATGCTTCTCTTTATCTCCTGTTAAATTGCTAGAGAAACTTGGATTAAGTAACAGGAACTTGTGTCTACAGTGAAATTTAAGCAATGCTTTGGGAGTAGTAGATCCCATCACTTTCTGAATCAGCTGGATATTTGTGTTGGGATATGGCTGAATTGTTCTCCTGTGAAAAGTACTTTGCAGTAAGAAATACCTTAGGAGTAGTTCAGATCACACAATTCAGATAGAAGTGTAGTATTTCTGACAGCAGGTTTGAGCTCAGACAAAACTGACTTGTTTTATTTGGATGCAGGTAAGACTGGCAAGAACTCATCAGTAACATTAATGAAACGGAAGAGGAGGAAGAGCGGAGGTGAGGGAGAAGAGGTGAGAGAAGGGGTTAGATTTTTCCTTCTACAACAAGAGGCAGATATTTGACATGATAAATGCCAATCAAAATGCATATAAAAAAACTCCTTTAGTTTTTATTTCAGATCCTTCCTGGATACAGTTAAAATTCTAGAAACTAACTTGTTAGTAACCAGACAAACTTGGAGCTTCTATAGATTCTTCTTTGTCTGCTGCAACACTTCAAATTTGAGAAGGTTTTGTTTGTTTGATGGAGATTTTGGGATTTTTTGGTAGGTTGTTTTTTATTGCTTTGTTTTGTTTTTTATTTTTCTTTTACTCACCCTCCATAGAATAAGCCAGATCCATGACAATATCATGATGCCAGTGCAGTGCGGAATATGTGTACGCTTTCCTGTCGTGGAAATTCCTCCTGTGTGGAGAGGAACAAAACGATTCTTTACTCACAACATCAACAACAGAGTAAACCAAAGGAAATATTGAATTGAATCCAATATATCATCCTGTCCTCTAACTTCTAGACTAGCTTATCTTATGCTCAAGAAGGAGGGAAGGAACCACACTACAGGTTTCCAGAAGCCACCTGGTCCATACCTCACATCTTAGATATTCCAAGCCACTCAGCCCTGTAAGCAACTTAACCATGTAATGCTTTTAATCATGTATTCCATTGATGTGCTCTCTTTAGGACTCTTACTTGCCCATAAAGAGTTATTTCAGCTGTTCTTACATTACCTTTTGCACCCAAGTTCAGATTTAATGCAGCATAACTTAACATAGGCATTTTTTCCAGTTGACATATACACTGTCAGCACTGCAGGTTCACTGCTCATTCTGACTTCTGAAAATGGCAATGCCAGGGACAAACTAGACTCCTTTGCTCAGGTTTGACTTAATTCCTACAGTCAGAGGAGTTAATGGGATACAGAGTTAACCACACTGCACATACCAGAGGCGAATCTTTCCATCAGCATGGCCAGTTGCAATGCAATCCTCCGTAGGATGGCACACAACACAACTGAAGCGATTGTCTCCTTTTGTCTTCGCTGTATTTAAAGAAAACCTGCAAAAGTCAAAAAAGGAACTTTAATTGTAAGAGTTAGGTTGGTTGTTCTACAACAAATCTTCAAAAGGATCAGCTAGTGCACATTAAAAATAATTCTGATTAGAAAAATTAAGTATTTTCAAGTTGTTATGGTTATATGCACTCTCAAAAACAGTGACAGACTTATTTTCCTCTTGATTTCCTTAATTCTTCACCTTCAATCAAGGTGAAAGAGTTGTTGCTTTTGTCTTTCTCTCCCTCTCCTTTTCTCTGCTTCCCTCCCAGCCTGGGTGCTGCCCAAACTATGTCACTTGTTTCAGGTCAGCATCAACCCAAGTATTTAACTGAAAGAAATACATTCCTGAGCTGCAAAGGTAAGGTACCACTGCCACTGATCTGTTCACTTCTACAGGAAGCTTCTCATATAGTGACTACATCCCCTCCAGCAGAAAACCAAGTATGAGATCATGTGTGCACACATCACGAGTTAAAGACCATTTAAGATATATCAGACTGGATGAGCACCTGACATTTTCATTCTTATTCTTACCTGTTCAACAATTTCCGTTTAAAAAAATAAACTTGGAGATTCAGATCCTTCACTGATACCACATACGAATCCTGTTAAAGTAAAGCCATTTATGACATACAAATTATATTTTCACACAAGAAAAAAATAAAGCACATTTCACTACAAAATACTTTACTCTGGAGACAACATATAAGTTGATGTTGAGGAAATACTTTCCCATTATAAGTGTCAAAGTTTCGCTTTTGTAATAATAAAAAAAGTATAGCCCTTACACTGATTCATTTACTTCCAGTTTTGTTTCAGTACTGCTGTGCTTTGTATAAAGGCTTAAACAGCACAGAGTTCATTTAAGAGAAAAAAAAAAAAATAAAAAGCCCAACCAACCAAGACCCAGAGAAGAAAAAAACCCAGAGGTGAACATACTTCTCTTCCAAAAGCAATTTGCTTCGTTGATGCATCCACACCATCCAGAACCACTGAGAGCTCCTTGCCTTCCAGATCTTGGCCTGCTCCTTTTGCCAGCTTAACTGAGACCAGCTGGAATGTATCTGACCAAAGAAAAAAATCTGTCTGAAACCAACAGTAGTACTGAAGAACGAGGACCAGACAGTGGGTATCACTGCAAGTGTAAGCTGAAGAATCCAAGGGAAGCTGCATAGCATTTCCTTTTGCTCTGAAGTAGCAATATATTATAGTACACAGTAAGGCCAAGATGTATTTATTGCAGACAAAATCCCATTAAAAAACACCTAGGCATGCTGTGAATAGGAGTCTGTTTATGGTAATAAATGCCTAAGGTTACTGCCTAAGGTGGGAGAATAATCCCCAGCACCCATACCCAACTTCAGTAGTACAACCTGTACCCTGGTGAGCACTGCTCAAAGGTGAACTGCATCTATGAGACCACATCTATGCAGTATATGCTTCAAAAGCAAAGACAAGCACTCTTCTAGACAAATATTGGAATGATAGATGGAGCAGAACGAGAATAAAGGAGGTGCAAAATGCAGGACTACACCCATCTGCAACAGGATTTAAAAAATATTTCATAATTAGCACATTAAAGCCCATTCTTGCAGCACACCACTGGAACAGCAGCACAGACACAGACAGACTGAGATGACATGGATGATGCTGCCTGTACTGTACCTCGTTCACCCTCCTTTGGAATGACAACAAACACTGAGTCCTCAGCACTAGCAAGCGTGTACAGTGCCAGAAGTTTGGATCCTACAGTGAAAGTCTGAAGAAAAAAAAGAGAAGGAAATCAACAATTACTACATTTGTGTGTACATCTTTAAAATAAGGAAATCATGTCTTAAAGAAAAGTTCATGTATTAATTAAAATTCTCAATTCTAAGGCAAATACATCTTTATCATAAACTGACACAAATGTTAAAACAGTACTAATAAAGTATGAGACATCAGATTTAATGAAAAGCCTCAGGATACCTTGTCCCTAATACAAAGCAGAAGGCACACTCAGAGGTGGGTACTTAGCAGAAAATGTGAGCAAGAGTAAGCAGCCCACATTATCAAGCCATTGGATCAATTCCTGTTGGTGTATCCCAAACTGCAGAACATTTCCCAGAGCTACCCTGGACTCAAAACTGCAGCAGGTAGCAAAGTCAGTATGTCAGTACATCTCCCACCTTCTTCCCCAAAAGGATCTGCATCATTATTGTCACCACACGTTCTCTTACGGCCATAATTAGATGGGTTTTAGGTTGTGTTCATAGTAGAACAACCCATCTCAGACTGATTTGTGCCCATTTTTCACAAGCTCTTAACAGGAATAACTCTACATACTTTAATGGGAATGCCATCCATGAAGTCCCACAGCTTAATGGTACCATCGAGGGAGGAAGAATAGAGCTGAAGGTAAAAAAACACAAACAACTATATAAGTAATAGCAATATATCAAAGCCAGATTCTACATAAAATCACAGCCATGATTCCAGGTAACTGAATAATAAAAAATACAGAGACCACCTCTGTGATACCTTCAAATAAAGTGCAAATACAACACTATTACTGTAGTTTGAAATGTACATTGTCACAAAGAGTGAATGCACAGATACCCACCATGTGAAAATCTAGTTTTGCACAGCTAATATGCAGATCAGTCTCTCTTGGAAAATAACTCTTGTTTATATCCAGACACCAAAAAACCCAAGCAAACTAGGAGCAGGGAAGGCAGGCTGGGGGCAGAGGAAGCCACTGGGCAAGTTAAAGGGATTTAAAGTCACATCCGCATCACTACCAGCAGATACAGAAGGGTGAACACCAAGCACAGTATTTCTGATCTCACATGCTTCTTTTACTCTTTCAATCAATTTCAACAGGAAATTTTGTTGTATTTCCCTTTTGTCGTCATTCCATTCATAGAGCGTAATCCACGTGACATTTCACGTTTGTGTTTGTAGGAAACCGACATAGCTCTACCTTTCTTGCCAGATTTCAGCGAAACACCATCTCGACGATGCCCTTAGCACCCGCAGCCCCTTCCCAAGCTGCAGCCAGCCCCGGGACAGCCCCCGCGGTGGCACATAGGGTGACACAGCCCGGCCACCCCAGCCGGCCCTCCCCCGGCAAACCTGCATGTGGTTGTGCGGGTTGAGCTGGATGCCGGTCACCAGGTCGGCGTGGCCGCACAGGAGCCCCAGGGTCTCCTCGGTGTTCACGCTGTGCACCTTCACGAAGTCCCCCGAGGCGTACAGCAGGTACCTGCAGGGAGGAAACGCTGTTACCCCGGCCCAAGGGGCCCGGGCGCCCCGCGGCAGCCGCAGGCCGCGGGGACACCGGCAGGCAGAGCCCGGCTCGGGGCTCAGGAGCCTCCCCCG